CCCCAAAACCCCAAAACCCCAAAACCCCTCAATAAAAATGTAACATTGAAATTAGAGAAATGATATGCTTTAAACAAGAGGAGATATTTTATCTTTATTTTGGTGGAATTTTACTTATCAAATAAACTTTTCAATTCATGAGCAAAACTAATCCTTCAAGTAAGGCAACAATCAGTTCTTGGTTTTCTAAATCAAAGGAAGAGCTAATCTCAGAATCCCGTCTTCCTCAGAAGAGAAGGTTTTCAAGGTTCAAAAAGTATAAAAAGTTTCCAAATAACTTTAAACTTCAGAAGAAGAGCCCTGAGATCAAACACAGTGAGGCTTCTCCGGATGAAAAGGAAAACATCTACATTAACAAGCAAAAGCCTGTTAAGAAACAAGTGAATTTTTGGTCTGCTCCTCAGATCAAAAAGCAAAGCTCTGAGAAAGAGAACCGAGTAGAGTTCAAACTTCGAGAGCAACCTAACCCTGTCAAAAAGAAGAGACTTAGAAAGTTATCTGAAAAGCAATTAGACAACGCTATCGATATCCCAGAGTCTAAGCTTGCTTCTTTAAAAGGAATTCCTACTCGTGGGAGACTTAAAAAAATCCAGAAATTAACTGCACTTCAGAAATTCAAGAATGATAGAGAGGAATATGAAGACATGGGAAGAAATAACCGCCTCAGCATATTGACCACTAGCAAGCAACAAACTCATAAGTTAGAAGACATTGAAAGCTCTGAGTCTGACCAAGAACAACAGAATAAGGCTGCTAATTCCTCTTCTGGGAATAAGAGGAGGATCAACTCTTCTGATAGTAGCCAAAACTCACAGTCTTCTCAAGAGTCTCAAGTTGAAGATAGCTCTCAAGATGACTCCGGCTCTGATGGGAATAGTACTCAGGAGGAGGATTCAACAGAAACTCGGGGAAACTCCCAAAGTCCTGAACGGCTCCTGTCTGAGGTTGTTGAAAAATCAGAGAATAATTCCCAAGACTGTGGAAAATCTGATGCTTCAGATACCGAAATCAAAGATGATAACAGTAATGAGGAGGACACCACAGTTTACTCTGAGGACATTCGCCCAGAACATGTCAGTGAGCAAGGAGATAAAGAAGGGACCCCAGGAGAATTCTACGAAGTTGGAGCTATCTGCGGTAGAAAATCTGAGAACAAACTTGTTTACTATCTTGTAAAGTGGAAAGGCCTCAAAGAGACTGAAAACTGCTGGGTTTATTACAAGTACCTCATTCCTTACAAGTCTATATTACAATCATTTGGAACTTGATATAGAAGATGTAAAAAGAATGTTATTGAGCAGCTAAGTCCTCAGGATAAGAGTCAGATTTTATCCTACCAAATGACTGAAATCAAAGAGAAAGCACATAAGAAAGCATTAGAGGTCTCAATAGTAACAACTCAGAAATTAATTGAGAAAATCAAGCAGCAAAAGGGGTTTAATTATTACTTTAGAGACAAGACTTCTTACTGCTTTAGAAAACTTTCAAGATTCCCTAAAGAAGGTAGATTTGAGTGCAATGACAAACCTAAGAAAATTATTTCAGCATTACAGTCTCCAGATCCATCTGCCAGTATCCAGCTCGCCTTCAAGATAGAGTGGCATGTCCGTGAGAACGGCTTTAAGCCATTGCCATCATTATATAAAGGAAGTGAGGTGAAGAACTACAACACAGATATCCTAATAGATTTTTATGAGAGCAAGCTAAAACTTTCATAAGGATATTCCGTCAATTCCTATAAAAAATAATGGGGTTTTGGGGTTTTGGGGTTTTGGGG